TTACCGCTGTCTTCCCATCTTAGTTAATATATATAATATATAATTATATAGCTATGCTTAATAGAAATATTGTAGTCAATATTTATATTTCATAGGATCAGGAATTTTGACAACGAATCATTTTTGCTTAAAGCACTTATAAGGAACACATCCAAGTCCACTGAAACACTTAAGTGTATTAAAATAAAGTATCATCTGGAATAAAGTGCCTACATAGAAGAATAAATGAGGAAAATAAAAAGTAAGCTCGCTATTGAGAGCTGAATGATAGTTTTAAAAACATAATACTGTATCATTTAGAGTACCTACGTGCCTTCAGACGCAAAGAGTTGACTGTGTTTGGAAATTTATTGTACCTATTCAATATAGAATGCAGACTATCCATACTTGTCGTGTTCATATATGCGTACCTATATTTAACCGTTTAAATACGTGCTACAATTTAATAATAAATGTTATGTATTTGAAACAAATATTTTATGAATATTTGTAATTAAAAATTAAGTGTGTTCAATTACTATATGTTTGTAGTTTCTGGAGTAGGTATATGTAATCAACTAATCGCACATGATTTTTAGAGAAATTAAAAATGTTGATGCTACTATGATGAAACAGACAAAAACTAAATATTTCTTAATAATTGTTTAAGGCTTCAACTACAAGGTTAATAACTTGCGTTACATTTTTGTAAGAATTGACATTAGATTGTATTTCATTAAATACCTACTACATATATTTATATTTGTACATTGATATTTTAGTTCTGATAATTTAAATAAGTTGAAGCAAACTTAACTTTATAATACTTGTTCATGTCAAAATATTCCATGTAGTAAGTTGTATTATAATACTGAGAGGTTTATCAAGCATATTGACCACCATTTTTTCTTTCAACTATGCATTTATTAAAACTATGATTTTAGGAATTTGTTTTTATATAATAACTAAAATACCATATTTACATAATATCTACTCTCGAATATTTCTTATATCGTTTATAATGTCTTGTACTAATATACGAACTATTTTGTTTTTAAATGACAATCCCCTATTTTATTACGAATATTTAGGCAGATGATTATCTAAAAAATGTATTTTAATCAAATTTAAAAGGGTGGTTTCTGATTTGTTGAATTTTTTTGCTCAGGACAATAGTCATTAATAATCGCTATATAGACAAAATAATATTTAGTCTGGTAYTGTAGTGACGTCCCAAGACATTTTTCTAAGGAGGGGTTTGGGTAAACAAATTAAAAAAATAAATGAAGATTTTTTAATACATTTAATGGTTACATTTTAAAATTAATCTCTGTTTACTAAATTTGCGCGTTACAGGTAATGCTTTGAACAAATTTAAAATTCTAAATTTCCCTCCTAGGAATGCTCATGCCAGATAATTATTATTATACTTATGAGATTTAAATATACCTAACATATTAATAATAATAACTAATTAGTTAACATAACTAACTGTAACTTAATAATCGTCATTGTCCCCATCATATACAAGATGATCCGTTTAAGTGGGTACACTAATTATCTCTTAAAATTATTAACTTTATTGAATATTTTTTTTTTTACTTTTAGGTTTATTTTTTTCTAAAACCTAATAATATTTTTATTTTTTTCACCCTTATATTTCTTAGTGAAATCACTATCAACATTTGATTTTAAAATGGTAGTATACAATAAAAAGACATCATGGATTAATTGGACCATTTTTATTATGAATTTACGTGTTAACATTTTTATTTTTCGTTGATTGGTTTGCGAGATACAGTTCCTCAAAGTATTTGTAGTTTTCACTATTTTTTTGATAATTGTAAAGACCTGGAGCTAGTGATAAATTTGACATCGTTGAATCCAAGGTAACAAAATAAATAACTTATAATGTTCGTCCTATGGCCATAGAAGCCGTGGACTTTGTTTTATTAATAAAAAAATAAATAACAATTAATTAATTATTACTATTGTACTTTGAAGCCTAATCATTTATTAACTTATCCACTAGGTTCATAGGACATTCAATTAATCAGGTATAAATTACAAAAGTTATCAATATTGATACCTTTTCCAACGGTATCGAATGTGTTAGTTGTAGCTTCTAGTCTTTACAAATGAAGAAGCAGTATATCAATACCGCATTTACCGACCATGACACCTTCTTCAACCACCAATACTTTGAGGAACTATATCTCGCAAATCAATCAACGAAAAATAAAAATGTTAACACGTCAATTCATGATAAAAACGGTCTTATTAATCYATGATGTTTTTTTTATTGTATGTTACCATTTGAAAATCAAAAGTTGATAGTTGTTTCATTTTGTTCCATACGTCCATGAACTTGGTTTCACCAAGGTTTCACCCACTTAAATGAATCCCCTGTATTTAAACATAACGGTATAGAAAATATTATCATTAGCACCTACATAAAATGTTATAACTCAGAAACTATTTAATCGTTAAAATTTTTATTTGTATCCATTCAAATAATATTATCAATAATTATAATATTAAAAAATAACAGTAAAGAAGGCTGATACTTATTTGATAAAGAGAAGCTTGTATCATCTCAAGACACTAATACTTAAATCGCCTTTGATTACATATAATTACAATTTTTAAAAACTTTATAAATTTTAATTTAATTCATAATTAAATGCAATATTCAGGTATGGCACGAAGGTGTAAACAACGTTTAAGTTGTGTAGGTAGTGTAGGAGTGCTGAAGCATTACATTTATGATAATGAAAATGGTTTAATAAAATTTAAGAAAAGGTTTGTGGGCTTAGACTCTATAGCACCCCCCCCCCCTATTTACGTCTACGATAGCGCTATAGCATGGTTCGTGCTGCACGAGTTGTAAGTGGTAATACAATATTCCTTAAGATATTCATTGTACCTAATCTAAATTTGAAGACAATTCATAATAAATGAATATAATTAACAATATTTAATTASGTAATAATAACATTAAAGAACTATTAAACAGTTAAATGATGACGTAAAAATACAAAAAAAATACATTTATAATTAAGACTACATACCTGAATATGCAATTTATCTGTTTTTAACGTTATATTAAATGAATGTATAGTTTGACCTGCAAGCTGCAATAAACACGAATAAAACAAAAATATTTTAAAGTCATAAACTTTCTAATCCGCCTTAAAAGCTTTAAAATCAGTTAAAATTTAATTTTCAAAATGTAGAATTTTACGATGATGAAAATGATACAATGCAGTGAAAAAATCTACACGAATGGTAACTTATTAATTTAAAATAAAATAAGTGAGTAATCTTAAAGGCTTAGACAGAAATGTGTTCTAAAGATTAAGGTCAAATGGCGAGTGATTATAAGAAATAATTAATTTTCTACTAAGATTAATCTACGAACAAGCTTGGAAATTCATTACCTATTATTATTCATTACACGTTTACAGTATAAACGATTTAATTTTTTTTTAATATTTCGTATTTTTTGTCGAAAATAATATCGTTCAGTACCTACCTAAAATATTTTCAACGTAACATAGGCGCCCACAGAAATTTTTCTAGGGGGGGGGGGCAATGTTAGGATTTGAGGATAAATATTATAATTTTACTAGGTGTTTTAAAATAATAACCTTTTTTTATTATACTCGTATACAATATATTATATTTTATTATATTACAACTTATTTTATACTTTAAATTTGTTGCATAGTATACATATAGTAATTTATCTTAAAACATTTAATTAAAAAAAATATTTTGAAAAAACCAGAGGGGCAAATGCCCCAGCTTGCACCCCCCTACGGGTGCGTATGCAACGTAAACATACTTTTAAATTTTTTGCAACCATATAATATACTATATTATATTATCGCAGTACAAATATTATTGTAACGAACAAACATAGTGGGTTAATGAAATTATAAAAAAAAACCAAAAGCTCAGTATGATAAGCAAAATTCGCTTTAGTGTACGTATAGTTGTGAATTATTAGTTTGATATCGTCTGTGACAGTTTTTAATAAAAGTAAACTTATAAATCTATTATAAATGTGCCATCATCGTAAAATAACCAGTGATAGTATATTATAGTAATAATAACAACGTACGTAGTAGTACGCACGTCGTTCGTGRCTAGGTTACAACTAATTATTACGGTCTATTCTATTAACATATTATCAAGTAATAATATAATTTATATAATATTTATAAGTGTTATAACACATACAAACGCAATAATAATATACGTTAATGTACACAATGGTTTTGTTTTAACATTAAATCGATATGCGTAGGTATAGCTTGCGTTTTTAATTATTTTTGTAAACTACGACGATGAGTGCAGCATGATGCAATATTTTTCATCTCTTATTCTCTCTCTATTATTATTATTTTTCTCATTTAAATAATAATTACGACGACTTCTGTCGTCTTTCAAATCACTATACCTACATTAAATCGACATTTTCTTCTTTCAAAGATAATGTTATAATATTAGGTACTTGTACATATTTTATATAATTCATTTGAGAGGAGCTCAAGCCCCAGTCACGTTAGCGTGGTACTACGTGGTATTGTTTGAGAGCCTATATATAWATACCATGGCTGCGGACCAAAATAAATTGTGTTGTTCCGTTCGGCGACGGGCGACAGTATTTCGCGATGGGGTGGTAATGGTCGAGGAGCCGATTGTGGTTGTGACGGAGAGGGATGATGGCCTGCCCGAAACGGATGAGGTAGGTAGGATGAGGAGGAGGAGGAGGAGGAGGAGTAGGTGCCATGAAATCGCAGTGTCCCACGCTCGCGCGACAGGTGGCGGCCCGGGCGTTTTCTCGTGGGTGGATGAGCGTGAGGGTTCGCCGGGACGCACACTCGGAAATATCGATCGGGCGGAAAACACCTACTCGCCGTATACTCGGTGCCCGAGAAAAAAAAAACCGCCACTCTTCGTCACCCGCTGGGCCGGTGGGAGCGGACAGCCGTCGCCGCCGCTGTCTAGGAACGCGCCGCCGCCAGCAGTGTGTCGTCATCGCGCCGCCGAAACCGCCGACAGAACGCAACCGTCTGCACACCGAGAAGAAAGCACTCTGCGCGCTTTGCACGGCAAACAAGTACGGTCGAACTTAACGTCACGTCATGAAGTTGTTGACTTCGTTGGTGTTGTCGGTCGCGGTGGCGGTGGTCGTCACTCAAATGGCGCACGGGTTGCCCGCCCCCGGTAAGGCGGACGCGGCCAAGATCCAAAAGAACATGGCCAAGAAAAAAGGTGAGTTTCGACCACCATCGCGGCACACGCTCGTCCCGCCCACCCACTCTCTCCTCGGGCGGGCCCGAGTGAACTTTTGGGATTCGTATCGCGTGCCTACCACCTGTGCCTACGACAATATAATATTCGATATATATATATATGTATATTTAGGTATATGTATATTGTGCGGGGCGCCCGGGAATTGGGCCACATTTTAACTACCTGTTTCGTATAAAATATTTGTTTACATTTTACTACCCGGAGATTGGCCATAAAAGTATAGCACATAAATATACTATTAATACGAATATATAATGTTTATTTTTATTATTATTGTTTTAACATATAAAAATACAATTAGTCAAATATGAAATAATTTTTATAAAGAATGTCAATATTCATTTTACAAATATAACATAAGGACCATAAAGTTAGTCAAAAAATAAATAATATGAAAAAAATATTTTCTAATCGGTACATAAAAATATAATACAAAGGCTCTCTGGCYCACRCSTAACATACACAAAACGCATTTACGCAGAATMATTTTTTTCTATATTTTTTAGTAATCGTAGAGTAAAATCATCCATTACAAAAAAGATAGATAATAATATTTTTGAGGGAATGACATAACGATTTTGTGTTTTATTGTTATTTGACTTTCAAAATAAACAAAATAATGTTGTAAATTCATAGAAAAAATGATTCTGCGCAAATACGTTTTGTCTATGTTGCGCATGGACCAAAGAGAGAAAAATAGTGCACTGACATCCTCTTGAATATTATTTTATTACAATTTAAAACGTAATAGTGTCCCAATCACTGGGTCTTTCTATTATAAATATAAAATTTTAGTGGCCCAATTACTGTATACCTTTGGAAAAAAAAGGTGAATTGTGGCCCAATTCCCGGGCGCCCATTGTGCGACGTGGCCTGTTGAGTTTCACGATAATATCGTTATCACAACTGCGCAATATAACAATAATATTGTGATTGTTGCACTTTACTGTTTGAAAACAACAACAAATAATAATGCCATGCATCCAACCCCGTTTTGAAAACTCTTTAGCGTGCWACCGCAACGTGACGATGTGCGTGTACGCTTAACCTATATTATAAGATTGTGTGAGCGTTAATCAACGAGCACGTATTCGTTTTTGTCGTGTTTATAGACAAGAAGACRCAGGAAGTACTCCAGTTCGGCAATCAGCAAAACAGACAGGCGGACACCAGAAACTACGGTCGGGCCGAAAAGAGACGTGAGTCGCAGCAAACGAAACACAAATCATAATTACTACAATAATATATGCATAATACATATTATATACACATAACACAACAATCGTACCAGAAGTATMGATTTTTAACGCAACTGCATGCCAATATTATATATATATATATGTTATAATATATTATTTTGTACAATATGACGTGTTTACGTAAATATAATATTTTTTGGTGTCGTTTTGTTGTTATTTCCGTTTTTCAGAGGCACCTGATGATCACCACGACCCGGAACCGGTACCCGAAGTGAACAACGCCCTTGAACATAGTGTCCAGCCGTCCAGACACGACAAGATCACCGACTTCTTTTATAACCCAGGTATATAATTTGTTCGCTATCATATGATTATTATTATTATTATTATTATTATTATTATATTCACCATCACCGTTGGCTTCGTTGTTGGCAATATACTGATGTCGCATGTATCGTACACATTAAAAAAAAGGTCTATAATATAATATCGCGTGTTTTGGTCGTAATAAATAAAACATTATTGTTCCTAAGATCACTGACAGATATACAAACGAATAAAATATTTTAGCGAACTGACTTGACAAACGTGAATTAATGATAATACTTTTTTTTATACRGAGTATCTCGCGAGGATTTACCCATTGTGATATCTCCTGAGATAATTAATATATCATAAATCTGTTGTTTTTTTTTTTTTTATTAGACTCACATAGACAAGAGCTACATGTATTTTATTTTATTTTTTTAGTAAAAAAGTTAAAAACAATTTTTAAATTATTTTATTGTTGAAAAATATAAAAACCCCTATTCTATAGATTTTAATTTGCTGAAAATGTGGAAAATGATTTTATTTTCATTAATCCCGTGACTTAATATTTTTTTTAGTTTATGGATAAAACTTCGAAAAACTGCTTTTTTATCCGGGCGGCAAGACCTCTGGGTATACCCTCGCGGGACACACTATAAGTAATACTGTGTAATATTTATAATAGCAGTTAAAATTGTTWTAAAACACTCCTCGGTATATTATAAAGAATAATAACAAAGAAATTAGTGCATATTGTATAAAACGTAATTGTTGACGATGTATAAAACCAGCCGTAAGATCTAAAACTAATTATAATGTTGCACACATAACACTTCACATAATGAAATCGTCAAATATGTAAACAAATAAAATGGGAATTCGAAGTTAATTTATGAATTAAAGTTTAGTTTACTGCATATTAATCTCATTAAATAAAACTCTTAATATTTTTATGTATTAACTATTTATATATACATAAAATATGAATAATATTATACGTAAATGTACCTATGATAAAAATGGTATAAAGGTTTGTCTGCTTCTGTATACGTAATATTAATATCATATAATTTATCAATAAGAATGATTTTCGAGTAACCATTTAGTACTTAAATCTAATTTAAAAAAAATATTATCACCGTATAAAAAGCATATAATATAATATATGAATATATATAATATAGCAAGTACATATCGTACCTAAATTCATGGATGCAAATTTAATATCTTTGAGAATGAAATTATTATGCGATACGAGGAAGGTAAAATGTGTTTTGTAATAAAGAAATATTCTTACGCCGTGAAGGTATAAAATAAATATTGATTTAATAATATCGAAAGGTTTGCTGGAGAAAATTTAAAACTAGAATAAAAAAATAGTCATAATAATATTACCTAGATTTTTATTGTTGCGTTGTTTATATCTGAACTACTCCCGTATAGAGAACTATATATATTATTTTCTCACCTTTTCAATTTTATTATACGTAAAAATAATAGAATTTTGACGATATGTCCTTCTTTAGCACTGTTTGATCTGTCACTATACCTAAAAGTATTTATTTTTTTTTTATATATTCAATTTATATTCTTAAGCCTTTGTTTAAATAGGATCAACATTTTAT